TGCTTCCCCCTCACTGCAGTAGGTATCATGTTTTCACTTCCGTCACTGAACGGGGAGGCTCAAGCCATGCAGCCCACTGACATACCTGCATTTTTCTCTTCTGGACACAGGCTTTCATTCACACAGTTTAGAATTTCAACCCTGAGATCTCATTGGCTCTGGGTCAATCAATCAGGGCATAAACCATTCTGTGTGTTTCTGAAGAACCATTCGGAAACTGGTACTGTGGGAAAACCTCCCAACTCACCCTGTTGATAAGCTGTTCTCCTGTTTCTGAAGCTGTGATAAGCTTACAAAGTGCCTGAAGTGCAGGGCTAGGCAAACCTGAAAAACATCGTCAGAAACAGGGATTGTTCAGCATCTGTCTCTTGACTGTTAGATATGCAACAAACCTGAACAGAACACAGACTCAGGTAATTCCTAAAATCCCTGCCCCACATCACTGACCAGTTCTGGAAGAGCAGCAATTTCCAGAAAGCAAAAGGTTTTACCCCTTTGCATCTGATTATACATTTTCTGACTGAGAGCTGGGTGAAAGGAATAGTCAACTTCATGCTTCTCAGATACTGGACCCAGGAGTAAGTGATTCCCATCTATGACAAAATTTTCAGTAAGCACTTTCAGAACTTTTACCCTGCTGAATACTTCATTGATGTAAAGCATCAGTGGTTTACAGCCTGCATCACAGGAAGGCAGGGGAAGGTTGATGCCTGCTTGGATAGAGCCCATGCTGGCCTGCTCTTACCTAGGAGGGACTGTATGGTGGTGCTGCACTGCTGCAGCCGGTCACCAGGGTCAGAGGTTGGGAAGAACACTGCTGCTGGCAGGCCGCTGGCTGGAGGGTCCAGCCGAAATCCTACTGCGGTGAGTAGTGCCTGCCAGCCTGGAATGCCACCCACTTTATTCTCCACACTCTGCTGGGAGGTATACATGGAGTTGTGCTGCCCGTTCTGGATTCGCTGCAGTGATTTCTCCACCTTTGGGGAAAATACAGCATTAGGTTATTTTAGAAGAGATTTCTGCTAACTGCCTCTTTCTACACAGTGCAAAGCCAGGAACAGCAGGTTGAGAGACAGCAAACCCATGGTGAACCTGCCCATCTCACAGAGAAAGTTGTTAGTGCCCTTGAAAACAGGCTCCAGCAACTCGGCGCTCCCAGCTCCACATCACTGTGATGAGTGTCAGTGCTCTCTGGGATGCTGGGGAGGGTAATGCCACAGGAAACTAAGTACCAGTTTGTCTGTGACAGTCTTCCCTAAGCCTGGCAGCTGCATTTCTCCCCAAAAGATCTCATGTTCAGATTCCCATCTCTCGCAGCCACTTCTTATCACCAGGCAAGAGTCTGCAGCTACATGGGAAACAGCAGAGACGTGTCCACAAACCCCAGCAACTGAAAGCACTAGCAATATTTGCAGGTTTCCCTCATCCTATGGATACTCCACATTCTTGTGGACCACGGAAGATACGCTGGAAAGACAAGTATTAAAAGTCATGAGGGATTATTCCAGCCATCTGGCATTTTGGCTTCAGCCCCGCTGCTCCCCACAACAGGCTATTGGCACAGATGGGGACAAAAGTGCGTCTTGCCTTCCAAGCATGCAAATGGGCAGCAGACACTGCTCTGCATTTCCATGCCTACAATGTTCAGAGCTGTTTCCTTTAGAAACAATTAACCCCAAGGATTTTCTGATTTTTAAAGCAGAGACCCACTTCAACAGCTAAAGCAAAGCAGATGGGCCTGGGGAGGGTCTGGTCACAATACAATGTAAGACTTCACTTACTTCGCCTCTTTTTGCTCTGGACACTTCATCAGGTGTCCAAGTCCTCCCACACTGACCCAGAGTTTTCACAGACTACCTTATGGTAAGGGAAAGGGGCTGAAGGTGCATATTCAAGTGGGAGTGGCTGCACATCAGCGTGTTTCTCTTCCTATTCACAGTTTACAGGTGCATACCCACAGGTAACATTATCTCACAGCTACACTGGCAATGCCCTTCCCACTGCCTGTGGTTTCCTTCCCCTTACCAGATGTAGCAGGACACGCAGAGCATCTCGTGCCCTGTCAGGGTGCTGCAGAATCTCAGTCAGGGCCTGTCCTACTAGTGAAGAAGGGCTGTTCAGCTTCATATCGCTCCCAATTAGCATGAAGCCTGCAGGATTCAGAGTAAGAGACAGTCAATCTCCTTTTGTTATGGAAAATGTTCAAAGCAGAAGCAATATCCTCTGCCCTCTTTGACCAATGCTTCACTGCACTCTGCAGAGTGATACTCTTTTCCCAGAGCAGCTCCCTGCCCATTCCCATAGACTGAACTTCCAGAAAGCTTCTAGATGGTTCTTACATGTCCTCCTCTATTAAATCAGTAAGTGTTTTCCTGTTCAAGCAAGTGGAAAAACATTGTACTGCAGCTAAACTTGTCCTGGCATGCTCCAGGAGTCCTTTAGAGCAGGACTGAATTCTGGGAGACCACAGGGCACATGCTACTCCCAGCTACCTGCTGGCAGTGCTCCTTGCTTAACTCAAACAACCTGGTGTAACAGCAACTACAAACCTGTCTTGTCAAAAGCAGATTCTTCCTACCTGCCCAGTTGGACGGATGGGAGAACTGCTTGCTGCTCTGCACGGTTTTCATCGCTTCCCCAAGGGCTGCGCTGGCTTTCATCCCATTTAAGAGGGAGGAATAGAAGGCATGCACAAACATTTTGGAAGCAGCCACAGGAACGGGCCAGAGTGACACTAGGACACACTGAGCCCCAGCAGCCAGGAACGCTCTTGTCAAACCAATGACTCCATCAGCAGTGACTTTGCTGTTGGATTCTTGGTAGGAGCCAAGAACCACTAATTTGACAGGAAGCCGCAGATCCAGGACATCAGCTGCTGTAAGCAGGAACTCCTGCAGAGGAGGGCAGTCCGAGATGCTCTCCACATCACTGGCATCATCCTGCATCCGAAGGGATTCTGGGATTGTGTAGGGGTTACCAAAAGAACTCTTGCTGCTGGCTGGAGTGCTGTCAGTGTTGGGTGTCAGGACCAAAGCAGCCAGTTTCCAGGAGACATGGGTTGCAAAATGGACACATTCTGCCTGAGTGAGGGCACTCATGACCCTCTCTTTAGTTGCAGCACAGCCAACTAAGGGCTGGCAGCTGAGTAGCTCAGACACCATATATGCTTCCTCCTCTGCAGAGGGCATAGGTCCCCATAGCCACCTGTCCATAACTGCTGAAGGGAGCTTGGGATTTCCTATGACAGCTGCCATTGAGGTAGAACTGGAGTAAGCAGGAGTATTCTTCCTCGCATGGGACTACAGAGAGAAAGAGAAAATGGGGTTCAAAGATCTGTTTGTTATGGCGCTGGTAATGAAACAGCCTGTCTCTTTGGCTCTAAACAGGAGTCTGGTTGTCTTACGTACAAAAAAAAACAAAACCCTTTGTGTTTCTTTAGTTTCTTCCATTTAACTATTCCAAGGAACATCTGCACTTGAGCCCAGTCAAGATTTCTGTCCCAACATCTTGGGTGAACAGATGGGTAAGAATAGAAAGCAACAGCCTTAGCCCAGGTCCCTTTGAGGGCTGTAGCAGAGCTTAAAGCATGAAGAAGATCCCAGCCCCCCACCTACTTCACAGCTGTGGTGCTCAACACTCTCACCAGGGCTGGCAGTGCCTCGGCAGGGCAGCACATTTGGGGCTTCTGTTCTTGTGCCTGGCTGCTGCTTTTCTAGCACATGTAGGAACCTGCACCCCACAGGAGAGGTTCTATGAGAGTGAGGATTTATAAGGCAATGTCAGACCTTGGAGCTGGGATTCAGCGACTGGATGGATGGCACTGCAATGAGGCTGAAGCGCTCGTAGAGGTACTCATTGGAGGAACTGCCCTTCAGGAGAGCAAAAGGAATGAGGTACAGTTCTCCCTCCAGAACCAGGATCAGCTGGCGGTGGCGGCCAACAGGCCCACTGGAATGCATCAAACCCTGGAAGGAAGAGAGAGAGAATCAGCTCGGTCCTTTCACTCCATCAGTGCCCCACCTGCGCTTCCCAAGGTGTGAAAATACCCCTATCAGAATTACACTCCGAGTGAACAGAGATGTGACGGGTGAACCCGCACTGGAGTGGACACACCCCTACAGCTGGGCTGTGCTCACCTCTGCACAAACAACCCCCCTGAGCGCACTGACAGGCTGCACAGGCCCCGCACAGCAGCTGCTGCTCCAGCATAAAACCATTGTGAACACCAGCCACCGATGTCTTGTCAATATTATTCTCACCTTATCCTTTGAAAGGGAGTATTTTTTCTGATACTGCATTTCAAACTAGCAGTTCCCCACATGGAACAAGTGGGGTTCACACCATGATCCACCAGTACAGCACTCAAGGTCCCTGGCTTCCACCTTCCAACGCAGCCCGTCTCACCCTCTGGGAAGACCAAGTGAAACCCACCACACTTCAGATAAAATCCCCAAGCTGCCTATTCTTGCTTTCCCGCATTGGCAGGGAATCTTGGTAAGTGAATCTCTGTATTTGTCAGCACCAAAGGCTTACTCCTTCCATAGGTCCTATCAGTAAGTCGTAGAGCGCACGGAGTGGGGGTTTGGTGAAGGAAGTCTGCCTCCTTGGAAGAGATGATGTTCCATCCTTAACAGGAGACATGGTGCTGCTGAACAGACTGGTCATGCTCTGACAGCTCCTGTGGGAAAAGGCAAGTGAGAGGTCAGTTGCCGAAATCTGAGGTCCACTGCAGGTTGTCCTGACTTTATAGCACTGACTTAATTCTCCCATTCAGCTTCACACCACAATCAACGAGGACACTAATGGCTGGATGAAGCAGCTGCAGACAGCATGTTACATTGCCATGGAGCTTTTCTACAAACTCAAGTGCCTGAAGTGCTGTTCACAGTTGTTACTGCATATGAATGTACAGCAGTTGCATGCAGGCAAATGAGACCCATTAACAACTGACTGTAATCACAGGAAAATTTGCACTCGGGCTGTGCACCAATTAACCTAGCATGGCACCAACAGGAACTGCAACAACAGGCAAACAACAGGATGTTAGATTACTTGCTACCACCGCTCTGAAGGGCTCCGTGAAGTCAGATGTGAGAGCTCACCTGGAGCCCATTTCTGACATCCGCACAGACCTCTGCACGGGCTCCTAGCATCACCAGCCACCAAACATCATCAGTCTGAGGAGACTGAGATGGCTACAGAAAGTTACTGCCCTGCTGAGGAAACGATGTTGCCCCATTCTGGTCTCACTAATCCAGCAGTTGTGCTCCCCAGAAATGTTACCCTTGGCTTGGTGCCACAAACAACCGTTTTATGGGAAAAGGGTAACTTTCCAGAGTTTTAACAGGTGGGCCTTAAAGAAAAAGCAGAGAGGGAAACAAGACATTGCACAGTAATGGCAGTGAACATCCCTCTAGGATACGCTGCCAGTCTAGAAGGGCAGGGACGCCCCGCTGCTCACCACCGAGCAGGCAGAGCCCCAGGCCAAGCCCAGCAGCCCGGCCCTGCCCTCCACACACGCGGCCATGTGCCAGCAGGCGGCACTCGCCGCCTCCCCTGCTGCCGACACCCGGATTCGCTGCAGGGAGCAGGGGCTCGATCCCCCCCAGCAGCAGAACCCCCTTCAGATAGCTTTCACAGCCAAGCAGCTCTAGATTCATTCCTTCACCACTCGGATTGCTTTTTATTAGAGCAAAAGCAAGGGAGCATCATAAATCTTCCGCATCTATTGCCTGTGTGTTTGTGTACACAAAGAAGAGTGAGAAAATCCATAGGAGGAGGATGGTCAGAGATTTCCTGAAGCAGGCAGCACAGACCTGGGGCCCTGGCCAGCCCACTCCGTCCTCCCAAGCCAGTGCAAACAACTGGCTCCCCGGTGGCTTGTCAAGTTGATTTTGAGTGCAGGTGATTTCAGTGGGACAAGAGGGAGACTTGTCAATCTTTTGGCCAAAAGCCCTTCTCCAGAGTGCCTGTGCTGGTTTCCCAGATGCTGCACTGACCATTTCTGCCCTGCTCCTGCAATGTACAGGGCTCCCCTGATTTCTGGGGCACTAAAATCTCCCACTGGACATCTCTGCACAGACTCCGCAGTGCTGCTTATTCAACCCTTTGTGTAAGGCAGCCTGACCTGCAGCAAGCAGAGGAAACAGCACAAACAGGGACTCAGGACTGCATTAACTCTGCTTCCTCCCTTTGTCTGGGAGATGCAAGAACAAAGCAACAATCCCATGACAGCCTCAGAGAAAGGGTGAGAAAGCCCATGTCCTGCAAGCCTTGAGCCCAGACTGATCTGGCTTGGCTCTGCTTGCTGAGATGCACATGCCTGGGCCCGGGCAGGAAGGAGGGATTCACCCCAGCATCAGCACAGAGCTGCTCTGGCCTTGGCACTCCCTCATTAGGACTCTGGAGAAGTCAAATGCTACTCATGCCCAAGCAGAGCCATTCAGGAGGGCTGAGAGTCAGACTGACTGCTGCAGGGGTCCAGCAATGGACACCCATCAGGTCCATCCCTCTGCAAGCCTTCCTCAAAAAGACTCTTCCTAGAGATACAGCCCTGAATCCACATTCAGGGCCTTGACACACTCCCAATACCAAGCTGTGGGAAGCTCCAGAAAAAACATTCAGATATGAGCTCCCTGCGGATGCTTCCAAGGATCTGCAGTTATCTCCAGAACCCATCAGTGGTTGCACAAAACCCACAGACCACCCAGCATTGTGCTTGTGTGGTCTGTACTTGGGCAGCTACAGCACTGCACCCCACATGGAAGAGAACCACACAGACAGGAGACGCCCCGACGCTGCTGTCCTATCTGCCCTCCAGGGACCTCTCTTTATCCCAGGCCAGCCAGCACCCCTGGCACAGCTGGAAAGCTGCCCTGGGGGGAAGGACCTGGGCGTGTTGGTCTACAGACAGCTGAACATGAGCAGCTTGTGCCCAGGTGGCCAAGGGCAACGGCATCCTGGCCTGTCCCAGCCCCAGTGTGGACGACAGGCAC